ACATAAAAAAGGGGATTGTTGACTCTGTTTTTTATCGATAAATATTATTTTCTTTTAATTATTTATTGACTATATAGAATGAAAAATCCTTTTCCAGAATTGAGCTCCTTATATGTATATTATTAAAAAAAAATTTAATAATTAGTTTTCTTATCGTTCGTAATACGACATGATACAAATGATCGAGAGAAAACTGTAATTATTTAACTTTCTTGATCTTTTTAAATACATATATAGGAATTAATATATAGAAATTGTTAAATAAAAATAATATTTGTCAATAAAATAGACAAAGTTAGCATCTCCTTATATCAAAATCTATTTACATAATCTTTCCTATATAAAAGGCAGGCTATTAAATGTATATACACAAGTACATATAATGCGAAAATTTTGTGCGCCAAAAAAAGATGAAATAATTATTTATTAATCTAAAGTGTACATATTTTTTTACCTTATCTTTTTACTTTTTTACACTCCAATTTCCATCTAGTATCAACTAATTTTATTTTTAATTCAATATATGATATTATCAGTCACGTGTGTTTGAAAAATGTCAGAATAAATTTATTTTGAGGGGATATAATTCTCTCTCTCTCTCTCTCTTTCTCTCTCTCAATATAACAAATTTTAATTAATGAAAAGTACATCTAACGCTTGTAATAAGTTTGTCAACAAATTTTTTAACAAATTAGAAAATTTGGATAAAAAGGATTAATCTTTTCTCTCATTCTCTCTGCAGAGTAATTTAAGACAATTTGACAACGTTTAATTTCTTTAAAAAAACATTATTAAGCTGAAGCCTTATCTTAATTTATTTTACAGAAGATGAATCATATTTTTAATTATTTTTTTATATGAAATGTACCATTTGGCAATAAGTTGCTTATATCTTAAAAAAATTTTGTTTAACTTATTGTTGCATTTTTTTTACGCAAATGCACTTTAAGTATGTTAAGTGACATATGTATTGTTTACGATAATTTGTCTATGTTAAACAATCGATTTATGATAAGAATCGTCGATAAGAAATTACTGAAATTTTTCTACTGGTTCAATTCCACGTTAAAATAGTGCTGGCATTCCATTTATCACTATTGCAAAAGGAAAAAAAGATGCAAACATTTAAAAGAGAAAGAAAGAAGGGGGAAAGAAAGACGGAGAATTGCCGATGGTGTAAATAAATTCTATTGAATTTTATTATATCTTGCTCCATGTTTCTCAATTTTTTTTATTTAGACTACAAATCAAGTTGCGCGCATTTTCAGGTCTTACTCTGCAGACCCTCCATTTTCAAGAAATCGAAGCGAGTAATTCAGTTATAGAAAATATATGGTTGTACCAGAATAATCTATATATTTTCTTCTAGAAGAAAATAATGTATCCAGAGACAATCCTATCTTTATCCTATCATATCTTTACTAACGAAAATAACCAAAATTAAATTAGCTATGATATAGCGAAAGAAACAAGAGGGAGAAATGGTGATGATTCATTAAAAGTGAATGTGAACTAGAGCAATAATTCAATTGAATATTTCGTGCTGCTTGATAAATGTCGAGTCAACTGATTCCCGTCGAGCGATCGGACATGCTATTTTCGGCGAGCATAATGTACGCACGCGTGTTCAATGTGACGTGGCAGAGAGTGCTAGAGCATTTCCAGTTTCTTAATTCTGCTTGAAATTCTTTACTTAGGATCGTGAGATTAATAATCTCGAGATGCCATAAAGATATATGTTGCAACGGCGTCGAGATTTATTAGAGAAGATTATTATTATGTGTGAAAAATTTCAGCATTTGATTCATATACTTATGTATATGGTCTAGCGATCTCTCGGAACAAGGAAATAGTAAGACTTCTTTTTTTATATTTATATAGAGTTTTAAGAAAGTAAATATATTTTTTGTTATAATAAATAATAATGAGATCATTATGGTAAAAGCCATTCAAAGAATTTTTTATGTAATTTCCTCGTAATTTACCTTTTAAAGTTTCTTTTACACTGAGATCCAACATTTGTCTTATTCAGCAAGAAGAATAACAAATATCTGAATATAATATCACGCGTTAATTAATATATCGACAATATATTTTATACTAGCGTGATCTTTCTTACGTTAATTAACGCCCGATAGCTTATAATGTTTTACAAACAATGATCGATCAACTGACAATAATTCTACTTCTTCATTTTGATTTCGAGTATTCATTTAGTGGCATATTATTTATTTATAATTGAAGTGATTCCTTCTTTCTGTTTAATATACATATATCTTGCGATAAATTAAATAAAGTTAATCAATTAAAATTTACAATTAACAAAGAGATTACGATCGAGCAATGTTTAAAATGTCATAAGGAATTTTGCAGAATACTAAACAGTAAATAGTTGCATTGCGCAAGGAAATATTTCATCTGATAACGAGCAAAATTGAACAGACTATAGAAACTAAAGTGAGGAAATATTGAGGGTTTCGCAATTTTCGGAAACATCATAAAATTATTATGTAGTAATATCATATTAATCTTTTTGAGAGACATTTTTTAATATCGATGAACGGTTATCATCAATTACAATTTTCTTCCATTTTGTTTATATTTGATTCAATTCGAATATGTATTAGTTTAAAAAATAATTTTTTTAGATGGGGCACAGAAATAATTAATTTCCTAAATACATAATTTAATAATATAACATTTTTTAAAAATAAAATTGCAATATTTTATTCGATAGTATTTTCTTTTTTTACTCAAGCACAGAGAAGAACTTGTAGCAAAGAGAATAATCGTTCTCTAAATATTGCATCAATTTTTACAGACATCTCAATTGCGCCATGCTGGCCATCAATCTTGGCGCAACTAAATTATCTTGCTGAGATAATGTAAAATTGACGATGCGTCCTTTCATATTCGTTTTTTTTGTTTATTTTGTACCAAATCAGCTTTGTTTTACTTTAAAGTGTGTAATTTATTTTTTGACAATATTATAGTTTTATAGATAAAATCGAATACGAGAGAGAAGTTTCGATATGCTCTTAATGTCCCACAAAATATTTTAATCAGTAAAATTATTCTTTATTAATGACGATTAGGTGTTTAATGTAAAATCAATAAAACAGAATTCTATATAATTGTACCAAAGTGAACTGTATTTACGATGTGTTGACTATATTATAAATCGATGCAGTTAAATTATATTACAAACTTATTTCATCGGCTTATATGTATAAGTATTATATTTGGTCGTTCAACTCTAATCGCAAAAGAAGTATCAGAGTGTCTACTAATATCAGAGAAATAAAAAAAAGTAAATAATCATGAGTTTGGAATGTTTTTTCTCTCTTTCTAAGCTACACATTTATATTATTTTGTCTAAATATTGATAGATTTTTATAAAAATATTTGACAGAAATTTAAAAATAAAAAAGAAATTAGTAAAATATATGAAATCCCAAATATATTGTATTTGTTTTGTATTGTATATTTCATAATTTAACAATAATTAATAAAATAATTAAGAGACTACTTATTAAAATGAGAAAAACCGATTTGATTAGTTTGATTATGAGAAAATAACTGTACTAATTTAATTTTTTTGACAATTTAAACACTTTTTTTTTAACAAGAGTGTTATAATTTTTATTGATTTATTTATTTTACTATATTAATTATGGTGTATGCAAAGTTCAGATTATATACACACACGAATTCTTACAGTAATACTAACTGTACAAATACTATATAATTATAATAATACTTGTCATAAACATACTACATTGCATGTAATATAAAACTCTTATTTATTTATTTATTTATTTAGAAGTAACTAAATTATATAGTATCTATATGATATTGCAATTTTGTTAGTATTTCTAATAGAAAAGCATTAATTTAAACTAAATCTATTACCTCATAACGTGAAAAAATATGTTTTTTATAATTTGGAGAAATACATTTTTCAATCTTGCTATTATATATATTAGTATATATATATATATATATATATATATATATATATATATACATAAACAAAACATAAAATGTTATGTACATGTAGCAGAATTGAAAAATGTACAATATTTCTGCAAATTATAAGATAGTATATATATATTTCATTATATATAATATGAGATTGTGTGTGTGTGTGTCTGTGATTTTATTTTATTATAGTTAATTATAATTCTTGAAACATTTACACATTATAATTTATTATGAAATTACCTGTATCAACTAATTATTTTTGAAATATTGCACAATTAAAATTTTTTTTATAATATATATAATTCTCTTTCTCTGTAATATATAATACGTTCTTCCTTTTCTTTATTTTTATTACGCTACATTGTAAGCCGTTTAATTTCCTGCATGTTAATATATCGTTATGTGCATTTACCAATATTAGCAAACTTCACATATGTGATTAAAAGCAAATGAGTTTTATAATACTATTATTATTCTTTCTTGTATAATTATTATTTTATTTATATTAATAATAATAATGATAAAAAAGTTATATAAAATATTGTATTTTAAAATAATAAATTTATATATCAAAATAACACAATGTGTAAATTATATATTTGAATTTTTAATCAATAAATTATATGTATGTGTATAAAACGTTTGCGAAAAGAAAAACTGTTATATAGCAAACAACCTCTTTATATAAAATAAAATAAACTAAATAAATACTTATTCTAGAATCAAATCTTCACGCATTTCTTAGGCAATATTATTTCTTACAAAACAGATGACGAGACAAGAAAAAAATGTTTATGTGTATAATTTAGACAAAATGTATTTTTATATTCTTTATCATATCATCTTTTTTTTTGTTGTCTAGACTACAAACAAAAAAGTATATGGACGCTTATATGTGCCTATTTCAAGAACATGTTCAATAATTTATTAAAGAGAAATTCGTGTATCGTGCATTTTTTTAGTTGTAAATATTTAAAAATAGAATATTTTAATCGATATAAAAGTTTGATACTTACCGCTGTCGGCGTAAGTCTCGGAGCCATAACCGTCCTGTAGACCACTGGACCATGTGCCTTCGTATCTCGCCGTGGATGTGGTAGATTGTCGAACTCCATAACGACCCTTGAATCCCTGAGTCCATTCTCCTCGATACAGCCAACGGCCACGGGTCTCCATGCCCAAGCCATGCCTCTTGCCATTTTGCCATTGTCCCTCGTAAGCTGACCCGCTGAAATATACAAGTTGCGAAAGATAATCTTCTGAACAGAAGCTTTTTACAAGAAACTTAAAGTATAAAATAATTCTTTCAGCAATTCTTAAGTAATTATCCATTCGTAGAAATAACATTAGAATTTTATGCTTTTAGAATTGTATGATTATATATATTCATTAATTAAATTAACTTATATATATACAGGTATATTAATTTTTAATTAATAGACGGATAATAATTACAAATATAATGTTATCAGTGAAAATAACAATAACGGTTCTGCCTTCACATAAACATTACTACGTATATATACAGGGTGTTTCTAAATAAGTTTGAAAAACTTTAGGAAAAATAAGAACGTAGATATTTGAGAATCGCCAGACAGAATTTAAAAAAGGTAAAATTCTTCTCTCGACCGTACTGGCAAATATTATTTATTCAATCACAACGTTTCGACCCTTCTTTGAGTCCTTATCAAGTGATTTAGATATACATAGACAGAGATTAATACAATAAAAAAACAAAATTACTTTACTAACAATATTACAAAATGATAAAAAGAAAAAAAAGCGAAACATACTTGTAAAAATAAAAATAAAATTATAATTTTAAGATGTCAAGAACGAACATAGTGTCGGTTTGACAACACGTCAAGACTCTTAGACGAGTTATTGGAGACTAAACGATCTTTATTATTTTGTCGTAGATATTACTTAGATCGGTATTCTTTTGTAAATTAACAGCGTTATTATTTCCCTTAATAAAAAACATTTCAGCGATTTATCTTTTTCTTACGTGCTTTTCACTATGAAAAATAACAGGCGAAGTCCAGTCAAAATCGTGATCAAATTCAATTTTATGTTTGCTGATAACTGATAAATTACTCGAATGCATTTTGATGTTGCTGAAATGTTACTTTACACGTGTACAAAGATGTCTTTTTGTTTGTCCGATGTATGACACGTTGCAATCCTTACAATTAATTTTGTAAACTACCTCAGTTTTTTTATCTGTAGGCAGTCTATCCTTGCTGAGTGTAATTAAATGATTCGGTTTTTTAGGAACATTATGAACAACATTAAGACCGATATTTTTAAAAATTCGATCGATATCGCCTAAGCTATTAACATAAGGTAGTGAGTATTAACATAAGGTAGTTTAGGGCTATTTTTTAACAGAAAAATCAGAATTCCTTATTTAAAGCAATGAAAATTAGATTCTTATTTTTTTCTTAAAAACTATTGATTTCACAAAAAAAACAAAAGAAATAAAAAAGTTTCTAAAGAACTCAAACTTTCTAACGCATATTTTTAGATAATAAAAGTGTAATTCATCAAGGAGAGATATAGAAGTATATGTTTATATATGAAAAAATCTTAATTTTCGACAAAGAATCATTTTACAAAGTTTTTTGCACTTATATAAAAACCCTGTATCATTTTCCAAAGTTTTTTGCACTTATATAGAAACCCTGTATATATATTAATATATATAGGGTATCCTACATAGAATGTTATAAGTTGTTTTCTTCGCTATCGCTAAGGACATTAACTTCATTTTTTTTCAATTGAAATAGAACAGAAAACCTGAATATATAATAGATATAAAAAATGTTGGGACAAAACGGGCGACCTCTTTATTTACAAAAAAAAAGAACTGAGTAATAAATATTGAAATAGTTGTTATCAAACCTGATAACATTTATTTGAAATACTTTTTTATTACGCAATGTTAATGATTTACAATAAAAATACAATTCTCACATAGACAAATTAGACAATACAATTTACTTTAGGGTCATTGCACAATAGGTTGCAAATGCCCCAGTTGTCAGTTGATAGTTGTGGATTAACTCATCAGCTGACAAGTTGCTTTGCTCTGATTGATCAAGAATTCTAAGACTGTCTTTATTGACAACATTAATCCTAGTTTGGTTTTATATATTATATGTATATGTTATGTCCTTTATGTGCGTATGTGTTTTTTATCTATTTATTTCAACATATTCTTTCAGATTTACATTAATTATATCAACAATTTTTTGGATTATTCAGACTTTCACAGTTGTGAACGTTGATGAAGCATTAATATATTTATTAGTATTAGGTGAATATATGAAAAGAATGATAGAGAAGTTGATAAAATGTTCGCTCTTTGTTATGTACAAAATTTGCACATGGTATTTTTACGATTAAAAAAGCGATTTTGGTAGTTTATGTAATATAATATATTTAATTATGTTATACTATATTATAATTATATTATAATTATAATTATATGATAATTATATTGTACTATATATATATATATATCTCTCTCTCTCTCTCTCTCTCTCTCTCTCTCTCTCTCTCTCTGCGACGCAAGTGTGACGCCACACATCACATTTCGATCTGTTATATACATGTATACATATGTATGTGTACATACATATGTGCGTATACATGAAAAGAGATTTATATACATATTATATATATATATATATATGGTATATATATATATATATATATATATATATATATGGTATATATATATATATATATATATATATATATGGTATATATATATATATATGTATATATATATATATATATTATATATATACTTACTATAATAACATATATTACACACAAATAATATTACAAAATCTCTTTTCATGTATACGCACATATGTATACATGTATATAACAGATCGAAATGTGATGTGTGGCGTCACACTTGCGTCGCAGAGAGAGAGAGAGAGAGAGAGAGAGAGAGAGAGAGAGAGAGAGAGAGAGAGAGAGAGAGAGGGAGAGAGAGAGAGAGGGGGGGAGAGAGAGAGAGAGAGAGAGAGAGAGAGAGAGAGAGAGAGAGAGAGAGGGAGAGGGAGAGAGAGGGGGGGGAGAGGGAGAGGGAGGGGAGAGAGAGAGAGATTTATAAATTTTCTTTGAATATACTTTTTATAATATCATAATGAAGTATATTATAATATTCAAAAAAAGTAAGTTAATTAAACTCACTTCTTCAATTGTGCGATTAAATCAAAATGTGAACTAAATTTATTTTCTTTAAAAAATAATTTTGTAAACGCAGTATGTATATTTTGCTACTTAAAATTATTTTTTGTTAAATCCAAAAAATAGCTTAAGCTTTCATGAGAAGTATTCATGAGAAGCTTTCATGACACATTTGAAGAAATATATTTAATATATTATACTCTTTTCTACGAATAACTAGATTAAATGAAAAATATATAATAGAAAATATGACAGTATTTAAAAATGAACATTTTTAGCAATATTTTTCTTCCAGTAATGTTAGTTTATCATACGTAACAGCATAATAAAAATTTATATTATTTGCATAAACTATTACAATATTTGCCGCTGCAATAACATTTTCATTATGCAGGGTGTTTTTTAAATGAGTACAACAAATTTAAGGAGATATTCCGTGGCTTATTTTATAAAAAGGTTACATAAACATATATCATAAACTGATCAAGCACATCGAACTTTGAAATATAATAAAGAAAACGGCAAAAAGCACGTGTTTATAATATACACTATGTTCAGTTTTTAAATTATATTTTTATATTTTTTATCAATTTTTTATTTTAACTTATTTTACTTTAACTATAAACGATTGATTGTTTCAAACACAAAAGGCAATTTTTGTATTTTAGTTAGAAGTTTTTAAAAATTATTAAACTTGAAATAAAACAATGGCGTATCATATTTGTTTAATTAAAAAAACTTAATACGATTATTTATATGCATGGTTTTGATAAATCTAAAAATTTTATTGGTACTAAAATTGATTATTGGGGAGGAGGGTTTCTACTTTCTACAAGGTTTAATAGTGAAACTATTTTCGCAAATAATTGATTATAATTATTTGCAAGTTATGGATTATATAATTATTTCTTTTAATTTGAAGGATTTGTAACCCCCCCCCCTTTCTCCAGAATCCGCTAATGCATACAAAATATAGTTAAGTATACTTAATTTAATAGATTTAATTAATTAACATTAAATAATTTTCCATGTAAACCTATTTCAAATAATTTTAAGTAAGATAATTTTGGTTATACGAAAAACACTTTTAGTAGCATATGTATATACAGGGTTTGTCAAAAGTGTGGAAATCCCTAAATAAGTTTTATAAAAATGAAAATATAAAAAAATGGTAAAACACGTATTTTGATTTTTCAAAAATTATTTAGGAGTTTCCACACTTTTGACAAACCCTGTATAATATTATTCAGCAAAATTCAAAGTACTAAACGAACATTTAAAAACATAAAATAGTTGACAATATATATATATATATATATATATATATATAACGGAAGATTCGATATATATATATATATATATATATATATATATATAACGGAAGATTCGAATCTTCCGTTTCATCTTGGAATATCACAATGATAAAGAACAAAATCGAAAAATGTTACTAGAAAAATATACTCGAAGATTTTACTTCAATTTGTACGTAAAAATGAAATAGTCTAGATATAGATAAGAGAAGAAGAGAAGATTTTTCATCTCGTGTATCTCTCTTAATTCTGATTTTTCCTTTTTAAATGTTATTTGCATCTGATCTAATCTATTCTTCGCAAAAATAAATAATAAGAGAGAGACTTATTATCAGTGTGTTGTTGCCGAGAATGGTCTCAAAAAAACTTTTTATAACTCTCTGTAGTTCTATGTAATTTGCAACTAGTAACTCCACATTTTTCTTAAAAACAATAATGTATTTTCTTTACACTAATTGATTCTTCTCATTAATTTTGTATATAAAAATGTTGAGGTCATCGAAAAAGGAATATTTTACAAAACATATTTACATTTCATAGTAAATGTAAAATTGTCACATCAAAGTACAAAATATTTCGTAAACCATTCACTTTTTTGTCATCTAATCTTTGAAATTTTATGTCAAAAATATTGCAGGGAGTTGACTTATATAAAAAATTATGATAGTTCCATTTAAACAAAAATTAAATTTACCTTGAAATAACCCTCTGGACTTTGACTCAAAATCAAAAGATCATCATAACGTTATCTTCTTAACATCAAATAACTTTTGCTTGAAATATTTTTTTAAATAATGCGCAAAGTTTCAGAGATATTTGTATGGATTTTTTAAATTAGGACAACCTCTCTCTCTCTCTCTCTTTCTCTCTCTCTTTCTCTCTGTATATATACAGAGTGTCCTGAGATTTAACCGACAAATTAAAAGCATATTCTACAAGTGAAAGTAAGAAAAAAATGTTATATGAGGTTTCGCTAAAAATAATTTATTACAAAGTTTAGATTCAAAATCCTGCATTAATCTTATATAAAATAGATCTTGACAAAATTAGCTTGTTTTTTTATATATTATAGCTTATGACCTGCTGAACAAAAATGTAACAGTCTCGAAGATAAATAATTGACAATTATTAATTTACAGCCAGTTAAACACGAAAAATTCGATCTCTGCGAATTATTTGATTGGCTGTAGTTCATAGTATAACAATCCATTATTTAACTTTGAGATTATTATGTCTTTTATTCAGCAGATTATAATCTACAACATATAACAAAACCAGCTGCTTTAACTAAAATTTAATTTCACATAGAATTAATGCAGGATTCTGTGTACAATAAGTTCCGCATTGCATCGATATTAAGCTTGTATTGTCATGTAGGATGACATTTTGAAATGCGTTACTAAATCATTCTATTAATGTTCTGTAATAGAAAATCCGTTGCTTATTTTATGTTCTATTTCAATATTTATTTACAATAAAACATTTTTAGCCAAACTTTATATAATTTTTTTTTATTTTTACTTGTAGAATAAGTTCTGCTGCTTTTGCAATTTGTTCCTGTTAAATCTGGGACACCTTGTACGAGTATATCGAAAATAGTTATCTAATATAATAATTATTTTAATATTATAATAATTATTTTAATATTATTATATTTCTATTATTCTTATGTGAAATAATGCTTATAATATTATACATAATTTAGAAACTTTAATGATTTAAGAACGATCATTAAATCTCTTCCAAATCTCTTTTTTTCGTGCCTCGCACACATTTGAATACTATATAATTTATTTTTAATTGACGCATATTATTTATATGTTATATCTTTTTCAAAAACTGAAAAAATAAATCTTGAAGAGTTATTTTACAATTTGTGTTCATATTATAGAACATTATAGAGTATTTCTGAGTTTTTTTTAATAATTAATATCAATGATGAATTTCTTCTTAGCTAATAAAAAATAAAAATGAAAACGCGCCTGAATGCGCAATCAGTGCGTCAATAAATTAAAAATACTAACATATATTGCCATTACTTTTTTATGGAAGAAAATAATACATTATTCATTCAGGCAAACGTCATTAAATTGATATGTTTAACTGTATTCTATGTTGCATGTTAAGTCAAGATTCAAAGGAAATTTCACGCTAATCATATCATTTTTTTATCAAAACTAAGGAATGTAACTATATTATAAGAACAAATATTAAATTAAATAATTTTTTTAATTAAAAGATTTAGAAAATTTATTTTCGGCACAAAGATGCACAGATTATCCTCGAAAACTTCAACCATTATTCCCGACCTTGAACTAGATCCTGAAGTGAATCTTAGTGATCCGGTCCTCGTTGTCCTTGCGTTCGGTGACCCAGTTTCGCAGGATCGGGAGATACCCTCCCCGGTATATACCGGGATACCGTGTCAAGGTCCGCCATTCGCTCATCTCGCGTTATGCGACGCCACGAGTCACGTGAATTCGCCACGAAACCGTCAATGAAACGTCTAATCGAAATTTACCGAAAAAATTTTTACAGCTATCAAAGACAAGAGCTATCAAGAGTCTCTCGAAATATAACTTAGACTTAAATTATTTATACATTGTGTTTAGTACTTGTTTGCCTTACTTGATGCAAACATTAACGCTGTTAACGCCGGGTGGCAGTATAACGTATAATACCGGATAATCAGCTATGCAGAAAAGCATACACTCGGCTAAGCGAGCTTAGCTTTAATCCTTCCTAATTAAACTCAGAGGAGCAGCATTGAACTAATCGTTACATCCCGAGAGTGCGCCAACGCGAAGGGAATGTAAGATTAATTAGCTTTGCATGTAAAAAAAAGTAAAAAAAAAGACAACTAGACTAGATCAATTTGGTGAATTATATCTGTATGTGCATGCGTATATTGTGCATTAAAGAAAATTATTGAAATCATTGATAAGGGAGCGCAATACTGATCTTTATATAACATTGAATATTTAACAGGACAACGTGTTACGAATTGAATATCAGGTAACCTTGATAAAGTAAAAATATGCTAAAAATGAAGTTATTTATATATTGTAATATATATACAATTTATATTTAAATCTAGACAGCACCATATTAAAATTGGCGCAGAAGATATCTTTAAGATGTTTCTAAGATGTCTTTTGGAAATCATATTATAAGATTTCTCAAAGATGTCTTAAAGATTTCTTAACAATATCTTATACACCAATTTTGCACATGGTGTTGTCTGGGAATTCAAGTGAATAACACTCCGAAGTTCGGAACTTTTACATTGGGATGTTAATTTTACACACACTAAAAAGTGCATATTTTACTGTATCAGATGGTTACCGGGCCTTCAAAACGTAATACACTTTTGTTCACTTTCTCCCTAGCATATGCCATCCAGTGGAGTGATCAGTGAAGCGCAACTATTTCTTAATAGATAGCGCTCAATTCAACAAGTAGTCGGTATCAACGATAGTTGCTCACCTAGGCCATGTGTAAACACCGGATACTTCGAAGCCGAAATGCCAGCTGCCGGAGTAGGCGCCCTGGCCTTTGGGCCCGGTGCACACGCCGTGGCCGTGGGCCTTTCCGTCCTCCCAGCCCCCGCAATAAGTCCCGCCGTCGTCGAAGTCGAATCTGCCCCCGTTAACCTGCGTACGATTCGACGCCACGGTGGCGGTACCGGTCGCGCCCGGTTGTGCCGGACTTATGCCACCTGTTTGTGACAATTGGGTGCCCCCCGCTACTCCATTCGGCGCCCCGGACTGCTGACCGGAGTGTGATTGTTGCTGCATCTTTCGCGGTTATCAGGCAGGCACTTCGATTTCCCGATCACCTTTCTCTGGTCTCTCCTTGAACCCGCCTTCCTCCCTTTTCGTCTTCGTCTCGATTCTACGATCGCTGTCGCAGTCGTCTTGATTGTGCTCTTGGTCCTTCGTCAGCAACGTCTGCACGTGCCTGGTTTCGGATATCGTTCCATTCTTCTCCCTGCTGCCTTTCCGCGTCCGCCTTCACCGGATCTCTACAATAGCACCGTAGAATTTTACCGGGGAGCGTCGACTGGTCGTAACAGTGGCACGTATGTATCTATGCGTCGACGTCGCTGAAAGAAACGTGACGAGACGCAAACATGTACGTTTGCTGAAATCTACTATTAAGCTCGGAAGATCGCGGAGGCGCGATAACCATGCGTCAATCCCTGGACCGCGAACCCTCAAGCCCCACGAATTTCTCAAGGTTCGCCTGTCATCGCGACGCAACTCGCAAAAGAGAAGCCGGACGTGAGAAAAGAATCAGTGAGCCTCGCCGGGCCGGGGTTTAATTTTAGTCCGACTTCGAGGAACCGAACATGCGAGCGCGAATCTACGTCTCCCAATCGCGAACGCGAAACCTTTCTCGCTCTCTTCCGGTGCCGGGAGATTACACGCAAGAATAGTCGCGGCTTTGGAATTGATACACTCTCTTGAGCACTTTTATCCATTCTCTTTCGTTCGCATCCTCAATCGCATATCAAATCGCCGCCAATCTCAAAACGTTTCAACGTCTCCCATCACCTCGTTTGTTCTACTACCGTTTCGGTCTCCTTCTCACTTACTCGCGCGCACACACACATACACACTTACATACGCACACACTCGCACATACACACGCACGTGTCGTCTCGCAGCCGCCAGCGATTATAGATCAACGAAAGTCAAATCTCACTAAAAGTTCTCGAAAATCACGCATCCAGCATTCGGCCTATAGGACACTCTAGAGCTCTGGAGCTATGATGACCATTAGAAGATGTCGCCCTCAAGTCCGAGAAAATCCGACGGGAATTGCGCGCTAGATCGCGTTTTCTCTCGAAACTGTCGAAATTAGACAACGAGCTCAACGGAGCCGCGTTTTCGTTATTCGTCTGACGCCGTTACGCAACGCTTCTATAAGCATCCGTGATCCGCTCGGAATGTGGCTCTCTCTCTCTCTCTCTCTCTCTCTCTCTCTCTCTCTCTCTCTCTCTCTTTTGCTCCCTCCCGCTCTCTCTCTCTCTCTCTCTCTCTCTCTCTCTTTCTTACTCGTTCTCTCTTTTTTCTTCGTCTTGTTTGCGCTTTTTATTGTTTAATCTCTCATTCCTTGACTCTTCATTCCAAAACTTTTCTCTTTCAATTTGTCGCTCTCTTTGGAAAACGAAGATCCGATAGAACTCCCTGATGAGTCATCCACACGAGATCTATCTACAGTAGATCGGTCGATGACTAAGATGACACAGGACTGATCTCACGGCGAAATCTCAACGAACACTGAGTTTATACCTCGAGCGGATTGCAAAGTGGAAGTAAGACGAAGAGGAAAGCAGAACAAACTCTATGTATATACACGCAACACACACATTTACACGCACGCGCGCGCGCGCACAAGAGAGAGAGAAAGAAAGAGAGAGAGAGAGAGAGATGGGGGTTGAAAAGGGAAAGCAGACACACGTGGACACACACGCGCGGACGCTCTTTCTTCGCGTGGACGGCGAAACGCCGTTCTAGCTCGGTGTGCAACATCGGTAAGCGGCAACATCTACATCAGCGTTATCAGCATTCGCACAGGGGCACACAGTCAGTTGCATTGCCGAACATACGTTGCCGTTTGTCTGTCTGTTCGCCTTGCGCGGCTAGGACGGTGCCTGCCTTTCAGCTCTAGCCGCGCGAGTTCGGCTAGCTGGCTAGGAGCTTCTATTTTTACCATGGAGTAGCAAATTGTTCCTTACACGAGGCGGCAGTGCGGCAGCTGCGGCAGCAGCAGCAGCAGCGGCTCTGCCGAGTCGAATCGTTCGCCAACGCGACTGAATTCGGACAATTTATAAATAGTAGGAGTTCTTGCACGCGCGCGCCGCGCGCGAACAATCGAGGATTCGCGGGAGAGATGCGCGATGAGAGTGATTCAAAGCGGTGGACTCCGAGGTGGATATTTGCTAACCGGGCCTTAGCACTACTGATAATATCGCTCAAGGGACGCCTAGGGTTCAACAAACAATGACAATTCAAAAGTCGATCGGTACAATTTGTATCTCGTTCGTCGCGAGAAGACTATATTATAGCAAAAGATGTACTTCCGCTGGCGAGACAAAGAATCGGGGTTTTATGAATTTTAATAATAAGAAGATGGATTAAGCCCAAACCGTGCGAATGCGAGCGAGTGTGTTGGCGTTGATAGAGCCAAGAAGCTAATTATGACAAATACGTACAATTTTTTGTCCCGATTATCGTAATTTTCACGTTTCGGTGGTGTAATTTAAGGAAAAAGAACAAAACGCAATTGTTGGTGATTGGCAAAAAAAAAAAAAAAGAAAATAAGCTGGTGCACTAATCGCGCGAATATCGTGTCTATAGATAGTGTCTTCTCGGCGAGGCTGTATTTTTAATGAAGCGGGGTGATATCGGACAGTTACTCCCCCGCGAACGCGAGATAAGAACTAGGCTTCGATTACAGAGCGTGGGAAGGGGAAAGGGGGTTGTTCCAACATACGTTGGAGAAACGAGGCGAGTCAAAGTCGATGATCCGTACAAGTCTGACGTCGGATCACGGGGTATGCTACGCTCTATTGATGGCAAAACGAAGCCGGGAGGAGACGGGATTATTTACCGACGCGTGCCATATTCTCTCTTTTTTTATAATATAAATCAATTAATCGATGCTTTCGCTATTAATAATGACGCTAACGAAAAGTGACAGCCGAGCTGCACTTGGGTGGTTGCGCGACGAGAAAAAAAAAAGAAAAACGACCGGTGTCTCGGCTTGCAAAAAGCTATCGTTACACTTTGCACGGATCTGTTGCCCGAAAAGGTGACCAGAAATGTGCCAACGGAGCACAGTCTCGGCACAATCTATCGTTTATTACCCGTGACGGCGCGTGTCGACGCATACAAAACTCGGAGTCGGAATTCAAGCCTGAACGACGAGACCAAACAGTAGACGCAGGATGCACGAAAGAGGCTACAAGTACAAGCTGATTGTCGTTGATTCTAGGATTCAGTGTCGACGATAAAATGAATTTAACATGTCATTATTCACCAAATGGCGTATGTAATAAATTATTCAAAACAATTATTTTTATCACGAGATGGTGGCTATTTACTAGATTAATTAATTATGCGATGAAAGATGACTCGAGAAAAAAATATATGTATACTCGACGATTTAATAAACGATACACACAAATCTTGACAACTCTATTTTTCCCTATTCCTTACTCCTTTTTACGAAATAACGATGTTTATTAACAATATTTCGCGTGTCCTTCGAGATTATGCACATATTTTGCAAATGAACAAGATTCAAGGTGATCGAGGAATCTCGTCGAAAGAGAGCAAAGTTTGTGGTCTAGATTCAATCAGCTTCTCTGTCGGCATGCGAGGAAGCAATTCTTCTTAATTAAGCTAAAATTTTACGATTTTTTCCTCTCTTTATTTTTGCTCGTTTACTTCGAACGCAATTTCGTAAGCGATTTATTTCCCAGAAAATTTCCCGGCAAAAGGGATACAAAATTAGGCCAGCAAGAGAGACGGAATGGAATATATAGAGAAATAAAGAAATAGTTACTTTTCTAAAGATTGTTCGGAGTTACGGATAATTATCTCTCGATTCAAATTTCGCAAAAAATTGAAATGAAACATTCTGTACGTACGTCAAGGACGAATACTTTGATAGATCGAACATTGTCTAGAGACACTTAATCACCAATTAACAAAACGTTAAAAACTCATCCTCAGATAATATCACATACTCATTCCTGACAGATATACGCAATTGATTCACTTTGATCACACCGACACTCGAAACGGGGAACAGGCAAAATCGACGTGCAGGGAATCATGTGCAGAGGATTGATTTAGGCGGACAAGATGATCGCCGAACCGGGACGACGATCAGCGGAGGCGATTCGTCCGGGGTGAGATCGCTTCCGCGAAAATCTGCACGCGACGAATATAAGACGCATATATGACCGCACAGCTTCGGGCTCGAGCACACTTCCGGGCGATCGATCCGGCTCGGCTCTCCGGAGTAACACGTGCGGCGTGCGGAGCGCCGGTGGCGCGGCGTCGTCGTCTCGCACCTTTGGTCCCTCCCGGACATACACACACGTGCACTCCCGGACGGGACGCAAGTGCGCGTCCACCTGCACGCGAGTCGTCGTTCGCCGAAGGGCGGATCGTCGCGTGTGCCTTCGCCGGTTCCTCGGCATTAAACGAGTGTCTTCTCACGCGGCATACTAGCGACGCACGCAAGTGTGCATCCCTGTATATACCTAATATGTGTCACGAGGACAACATTTTCTACATGTAACGTACATGCGCCGTGCTGTACTCTCTCGTTCACAGGCCGCACGTTTTGCGCTTTTAGACGAACGTACGACGAGCTTTTGGCACATCTTGCTGATCATTGATCGATCTGATGTTTGCTCACATTCTCGCATTCGCGATGGCGTTTTAATAATACGTTGCATCTTTTTATTATTCTGGATTCTGCAAGGCCTCGACTTCGTCGCGTATGCGTTTCTGAGTTGAAATTTTTATCGACATGTGTCGCATGAGAATTTACGGTTCGATTATGTGATTCGTTATGAGCGCGACGTTTGGACGCGCATGGACATTGTCCATGGAAAGAAAAGTAGGAACGAGAGAGAATCGTTTGCGACCGGTCCGATCCTTCCTTGCGACGACAACCACTTCTGCTCGTGCGCGTTCCCGTTGCAAATATATACCGTCGTAGTTGAGTTTCGTCGTTATTCACCTACGTTTGTCGCGGTTATGGCAAAATCTCTCTTTTTTTTTACTACGTCACGTCACGCTCGTTTTCCGTGCTGCTCACGGAAATGTGCGTGAGGTCAGGGTGGCATGATTACGACTATCAGACTCGCAGTGCGCCGTCGCCAGCGTTGACCGCACCGTCATCGTCACTGTCGCCGCCACCGCTGCTGCTGCTGCCGTCGGAGCCGCCGCCACCGGCGCCGCCATCGACGTCGCCGTCATCGTCGTCGTCGTCAACGTCGCTGGCGTCGCGGCGCCGTCGCGTGGCCCAGTATCGTTCTGATTGGTGGTAACACGTGTACATACGTGCGCAACGACGTGGCGCAGCGGTCGGACGAGTAGAGTTGGCAAATTTGTAGTCGGCCGATATATCACATTGATTTTTTTAATAATCGAAGTTTAATAAAGAAGATTCTTCATTGTTGTTTTGTATAGCGAATTTTTTTCTCTTTTTATTATCTTTTCTCTTCATTAATTGAGTTATTGTGAAAAGTATTTATGTACCTTAGAAAAAATTCCTATCATATTCACTGATTATGTATTTTTTTGTATTTTGTAAAAGTTAATCCTTATAAAAATTTATCATTAGTAACGCTAATTTATCACTTATTTTGAGTACTTAATCACTAATTTCGAGTACTTCAATTACTGTATATCAGTATTTTAAGTACTCGATATAAGTGATTAATTGGCGTTACTATAGTGATAAATTTCTACAAGGGAATATTATACCAGAGAGTTTTTCTCCTGTTTATTTGTTTAAATAAATAAGTAAATAAATAAAAATATCTGTTCTATATTTCATATACGCGTTTTTGACTCTGTGGATGAAACAATATAGCTATCCAGTTGCCATTAAAAGAAGTGAAGAGAAGTGTTCTATATTCCGTTTAACGAGAACTTGTAATTTGTTTCCGTTTCGGGCAGGTTTTCGTTCATGATTTCCCTCTTCACTGTTAACTGTAACTTCAATGCCTTTAATGAATGGCATAAAGCCCCCGAAATATTGGACCGCCGGTATTTCTCGCTATTTTGTCCATGTATACGCAAATCGTTGAACGGACCATATCTTTTTCTTTTTTTTTATTGATGAAAAACAAACATTTTCGAAAAAACTTATCATTTTTGTATTTGACAGTAGCACAACCCACTGCATTTTCTACTATATCGACAACTGGTTAAATAAACAACCATGCTTTTTAGTTTTATTTATATTTTTCTCTATTATCTATAAATTATAAATATAAAATCGATTTTTTGTTTTTCGAAATTCTAGTAATCTAAATTTTTCAAAAAATGTATGTATATGTGTGTTGTGCTAATATTGAAGAGTTTTAATTGTTGAAAATTGGAAACAAATATCAAGAAATCTTCTTCTATTGAAAACTCTTCTATTACAAGGAATTCCGTTTAAAGACACACATGATTGACATGAACAAAATAATTACTAGAGGCAATTAAAATTTTGAGATTATTAGAAAAATATTATTATAAAAATATCCGAAATCTTTCTTACATAAAATGTAACACTTAAAGGATAAATGAATGGACGCAGAGAAGAATTAAATTTACATATTTCGAAGCTAGAAGAGAACAGATTGAGAACGGATTGTTTGTGATAATTTTCCAATAGCAAGAAAGAGCTCGATCGTTCAAAGAAATAATGGTCTGATCAAGAAGTAAATAAAAAAAAATTAAAAAATTAAAATAATGTATATAATTTGAAAATAAGTCAAGAAGATTATATAGGGTATTTTTAAATAAATATGCAAAATTTGAGAACATGATACTTTGTTGAAAATTAAAGGGGTTTTTAATATAAACATATATTCCCTGCATCCCTCTTTGAGAAGTACCACTTATTCAAAGGAAAAGGTGAAAATTAGGTTTTTTCTTTTTTGAAAATTGATTTTACGAAAAAATGAGAGAAATAAAAAAAGATTTTTAAAGAAATCAAGTTTTTAACACATATTTTTAGATAATCATATTAACTGGGTTAAAAAATTCGAATAAAAAATTGAATAGAGGTTGTTAGTTTCATCCTCTTATATAACGATACGAAAAATGAAAAAAACATTAATAAATATCCGTTTTACTAGTGAAGAAAATATCCATCAAATTTCATTTTTGTAACTTTTCCAAATTTTGAAACAAAAATTAAAAATCTAATTTTTATCTCCCCCTTTGGAAGAGTGTAATTCTTTAGAAAGGGATATAGGAGAATCTGTTTATATGAAAAATCTTCATAATTTTCGATAAAGAATTATCTCCTAAAGTAATTTAGAAGCACACTGTATATTGTTCCCTATATAATATAGTATTACATAATATTATACAATACTATAATGTAGTGAATATTATAATGTGTGATTTATTATTAAGTTTTTCTTGTGCGTAATGTCTTATACAGGGTGTCCGGTAACTAACGGACCAATGATTAAGAGCGGATTCTCTGGCCAATTTGGAAACGATTTTTCCTTAGCAAAAATGTTGAGAAGTCAATAATTTTCGAGTTATAAGCGATTGAAAAAAATGGGTCTTTTGAAAACTAAACGTTTTGGAGTTAAAAGTCTAACATAATTACATTCTTCAGTTAATTTCAGGTAGAGTTTACTATAATAAAATTTTAATTTGAGGCTTAGTTACAAAGATACATAATGACAAATATTGGAAAGTTGTAAAAAATGACCTTTTTCGACATTTTTGCTGAGGAAAAATCGTTCCCAAATTGACCAAAGAATCCATTTCTAATCGTTGGTCCGTTAGTTACCGGACACCCTGTATATTGTATCACTTATTATACATTTGAGATAAATAAGAAAATGTGTGTGTGTGGTGTGTATACATTAGATGATATACGCATACGCCATTAAAACTAATACATGTTCTACAATGTTCAAAAAATGAATTTACGTCTGTATTCTCGGGTCAAGAGTGAAGCAATCAAATGACTCAACCAACGCACTACATTACGAGCGCCTGATATCGATTAGTGCTGATAGTGGCTTATTAAGTAATAGCGTAATCGTCACGATCGTGATGTATCATTCATTTATAAACCGTAGAATCCGAAACATATCAAATTTGGGAGTTTGTCCCTAAGTATAGACATCATCTTGAAAAAAGTGCGTCCTTTTAGTCATTCTTCTTCATATCTGTTTAGTGTACAAAAGTGTGACGCGTGTCGGATTGACTGTCTGATATCTATCGTCGCGAATCGCGAGCGGAGAAAAATAAAATCACAGACAAATATAATTGTCATTTAGTAAAGTGTCTGTGTTACGAGAGAGAGAGAGCGCGCTTGACATTTTTTTCCGAATTGCTATTGGTGCGAACAAAACATTCAGCTACTTGAAATTTTTACGGGAGATTATTAACTTTACGGAGAAATTGATAAAAAGAGGAGAAATAATTTTATATGGTAAGATTTACAAAGAAAAAAGTATATATCGTGTCTTCTCTTTTCTTCCTTCTCTTCTCTAACAGTTGGAAGTTTAAGTTTTTCATGTTTGACTGATTGTAAATCAGTAACTGTCTACTCTCTAAATTTCTTGGAGTAAAAACTGAACAATCTTAATTTAAAAAAGTAGAATTTTACTCACTCTTTTGGAGTAAAATTCCATTCTTTTGGAATGAGAGTGTTCGGTTTTCACTCCAAGAAATTTAAAGAGTATTATTTAGTTTTAAGTTTATTACATTTTTTGTTCAATAGATCATAAGCTATCGGACAACACCATGTCCAAAATTGGTGCAATATTTAAGATGTTTTTTGGATATCATATCTTAAGATTTCTTAAAGATGTCTTAACGATTTTCTGAAAGATGTCTTATTCGCTAATTTTCGACATGGTGTTATCTGAGTACAACATATGAGAAAATTAGCTGATTTGATCGGCATTTAATTTTTTTCATTTGGGATTTTATATAAATTAAAAAATTTCTTACTAATCTTATATAAAATTGAATCTTGGTATAAAATCTGCTAGTTTTTTCTTATATGTTGTATCCTATGACCTGCTGAACAAAAATAGGCTGAATGTATTTAATAGACTCAAAGTTAAATAATATTACGTAATTACTAATTTACAGCCAGTCAAATATGGAACACAGTCAAAATTGTTTGACTGGTTTTAGCTCAGTAACTGTTCATTATTTAGCTTCGATGCTATTTACTTTTGTTTAGCGCGGATCATAAGCCACAACATATAAAAAAAAACCACCTGACCTAACCGAAATCCATTTTACATCATATTAGTGCGGGATACTTTATTAATTTGCTTTATTAATTGTGTGTGTGTGTGCATTTTTATCTTGATTGTTTTTGATTAGTAATCATTAACGGAGTTTCGACCAGGAAAAAATAAAATTAATTTTTTTATTCGAATACAACTGGTTCGAGCAACTGAAATGATGCTTGTGTTCTGTACAAACAACATGTTCGTTTACCGCGACAGTGCGTGACCAAGGCGATACCATGTGTATGTGAACGTATTAGGTTTCAACCGGTAATAGAATTACTTTCTTTTCCCAAAGGAATTGATTTCTGTAGTGCTAGGGTGCTCAGTACGCTATACGATGTCTCTTGATAGACAACTCTCTCGGCAGAAACGTTCGCTATTGTAGGTGGATTTGAAAACATATATATCTCGAATTATCGTGTCTGGGATTGTTTAACGATTGTGCGTCACAAATTGTGAAAATTGATCGGCCTTACAATCCCGTTCCTTTTGCAATCAAGATAATATTTCCAATGTGTTCGCATTGTGTTTTTTTTTTCATTAGTCAATTCTACAAAATAATCGATAATCAACGGGGCATAAGTTTCACAATTTTCCTCAATTGCAAATATCAACTTATCACAGCGTGTCGTTATACTCTTCTACGTAAAATTTTATCAAGTTATTAAAACATACATAACTAAGACTTATTGTTTATGCGTATAAAGCTAAGAAACAAATACGATTACAAAACATACTGCAACAGTATATAACTAGATATAGTAAATTATTAAATTTATTAAGTTTTCTTATATATGTACCATATAATGTCAATGTCTTTCTATTGTATCGTATATAATAACTTTTTAAAGCACTGTTTAAATGAATTAATTTGTCATTTGTTGCGCTCGCTGCAGTTTAATTAATTAGATAACAAAGAGCACAAAATTTATTCTATTTTTTTTAAATCTTATATAATGTGATTATTAGATTTAAAATAATAAATCATATATATATATATGATTTATTATTTTAAATCTAATAATCACATTATAAGATTTAAAAAAAAATAGAATAAATTTTGTGCTCTTTGTTATCTAATTAATTAAATATATATATATGATTTATTATTTTAAATCTAATAATCACATTGTGAGATTTAAAAAAAAATAGAATAAATTTTGTGCTCTTTGTTATCTAATTAATTAAACTGCAGCGAGCGCAACAAGTGACAAATTAATTCATTTAAACAGTGCTTTAAAAAGTTATTATATACGATACAATAGAAAGACATTGACATTATACATATATAAGAAAACTTAATAAATTTAATAATTTACTATATCTAGTTATATACTGTTGCAGTATGTTTTGTAATCGTATTTGTTTCTTAGCTTTATACGCATAAACAATAAGTCTTAGTTATGTATGTTTTAATAACTTGATAAAATTTTACGTTATCTCGTGAACTTAGGATTTTAATTTATTAACAAAGATTTCTAGTAACTATATATATATTAAATATAAACGTATATACATATAATGCATTAAGCATAGCTGATTTATGTTTACGAAATACAACATTCGCTTAGATAGCTTAAGCCTCATCACTTTACACGTGAAAAAGCAAAAGAGTGATATTCTGAATTTTTAGTTCTCGCAACATTAAATTTTATTAAGAATGATCAAGGTAACTTATGTAGTCTCGATCATGTTGCAGAGGAAATGCTTTTACCCGTAGCAGCATGGATCTTCTAAGTTTAAATTTTTGCTCTTTCGAATTGGAGGATATGAAATCGTCGAGCAAGGAAACCTTGCTGCAAGTCGAGCGTGACAATTTCGTGGAGAAAAATGACGACATCAAAGAACGAAGACGCAGGGTAAACTCAGGCAAGGAAAAATCGCACGACGAGCTTCGAACGATCCATTTAGATGAGGTTGCTTGGCACGATACGTCTAATAGCTGTTGGCTGGTGATTTACGATTATGTATACGATTGCACGGAATTTCTAAAGAATCATCCGGGCGGCCACGATGTCCTTTTGGAATATGCCGGACGAGACGCGACTTTGGCGTTTATCGGCACCGGACATTCTGCTGTCGCGAGGACAATCTTAGATCGGTATAAAATTGGTGAACTTCCGCCAAAAGAAAGGATTTTTCGCGTTCCCGATGGCATTAAGATATGTGACATGTTATCTATCTAAAATTATTAAATCATCAGCATTATTATAATTATTTTTACGTATTTACATAATTGAACACTAATTAGACATTCTACTTTAAGAACAAAAATCGGTGTACTTATTATGATATAATATTTAATATAATATTTTTCTAAAACTAAATATTTAAAATGAAAATAAAAATACTTGACCTAGACATAACATTTGGTTATGTCTTAAAATATCTCTATTGCTATTTTGATGTTAAATGCAGAGAAGTGACAAGATGTTTAAAAATTATACTTATTTTAAAGATAGATAGTCAATATATATGTATGTTATTTCTCTTATATATGTGTGTGTGGATGTGTATGTATGATATATTCTAAATTATATGCACATATTTATCACAGATGAAATTTATATAGATATATGTATACGCAATATGTTATTTGATATTAAATTTTAAAAAGTATTTATTTTTAATATTATAATTCTGAAGTATTAAATATATATATATATATATATATATATATATATATAAATGATTTAAATCAATTACGACACACACGCGGATATATTGAGATGATTTAAATCATTTTTTTTCTTCGGACGAGAGATCCACATTTATTTATACGTATGCTATTAATATCACATTGTGTAACACTGATTCATTAACGCTACACTGTGACAAAAATAACTGCATTGTAAAAAAGTATGTAATGAAGGTATTACATATTTTTATAGGTATTGTATGAAAATATGTAAAATTACATAAATAAGATACACGATTTATAAGGAAAATGTTATATTTTCCTTATAATTATTATAAGGAAAATGTTATATTTTCCTTATTATATTATTGACGAATAACTGACAAAACAAATTTTTTTTATCACACATAATATAATTTTAATGTTGCATATACATATAATTGCTCTTTTACACATTTTTATATAGTAATGGAAATTTTTGAATAATTCAAGTAAGTTATTAAATATTTTATTTGATGTGCCGATTTGTCTGACTTGTTCGTTTGACAATTATATTAGTAATAATCGACTGTATAGAGCAATTGACCGAATAGCGTGTGGTTATAAAAGTATTTTTTGGCAATATGTACATGCGTTGTATTACTTACGATTAGTTTCGTTAAATTGTGAAGTATAGAGCGACAAAAGGTCAAATGCGCGCGATAAGAGACTGATCAATTCAAGATGCTTGAATCACTTGTGCTTTTTGCACAATTAATTGCAGTAATTGAATGTAATTGATTTTTGAGAATAATTATTTGCAAAATTTGGCGACTTAATTTACTAGATTATACTATAGTGATGCGTTGGCGATGCAAAATTTGTAATATTAGTATTATAAATTGTATATTAGGCAAGATATAATGTTATATGTATACGGTATCAGTAAGTATACAAATATCACATTTGACCTTGAACTTTGCAAAGTATTGCCAAATATATAGTGTCATCTCGCGCGACTTGCTTCATTAAATTTTGCAAAACAACACATTCTGCTTATCGTAATACTATATATTTACCATAATACTTCAGAGTTGTATTTAAAACAAAACTTTATAATTCGATATCAAATAATATATTGCGTATCTTATATAATTTTCATTTGATATCTGTGCATATAATTTATAACTTATACAATTATAAAATACTGTGCAAATATAAATTCTTAGTCTTATTTTGTAATATACATCATCATATGCACATATAATATATTATGAACTCTTTGATTTTGCACACTAGAGATAATTGTATTAATAGATATTTAATGGATATAATGGATCGTATCGATGATAGATACGAAATAAATACGGATTTTGGAATAAAAATTATATCAAAGAAATCTTGTGTAGGTCATGAAAAATTAAAATTGCACAAATATTTGTAAGTTTTGAATGCTAACTCATAATAAACTTATACGAAAGCATCGAGGTTTTAAACTCTTTTGTAAACTATTTTTTAGTTCTATAATACTATTAACACTATATTCAATATACATATAGTAATGGCTTTATAACGTCTAAATGTATATATAGAAAAGTAAATTTTCTTATTCATTCTGTAACTAGCAATGTAATGGCGACATGATTTTATGATATGCAAAAATAAATAGAAAATGTAAAATCAAATTTTTTCTCGAAATTTTGGTTTTATACAAAATTTTGTTTTTAAAGGATAATTTTGAAAACAATTGCAAGATTAAAAAAAGGACAATATAACTTTTTAAGCTTAGATGTGATCTCTAACAATTATATGGTTATGTACATATATATCATAAAACTTGTCTTTGACGGCTATTGACATTTAAATATATATATGTAAAAATACAATATTTCATTTAATAAAGTAATAATATTAATATAATTTTAACACATTTATAGTGTGCAATAATATGTGAGATAATAGCGATGTAACTAGGTTTGTTATAAGTTATCAATAAATCGATAAAATAATTTCCATAAATCAAAAGGCGAGACTGTTTTATTAATTTAATTAACATTAAACTTCATTTTCTGTATTAATTTTAGATTTATCTAAAATTAAATATGTAATTATACACACGTAGCAATACTCTTTGTCACATATACGTACATTTACACATATTATAACCTCATGAAACATACACATTATAAAATATAAATATTTTGCAATTTAAAAGAGAATTTAAAAGAGAATTTGCAATTTAAAAAAGAGAAGAAACAAAAAATGTATAGCACTTGATGTGATCGATCTCATTATGTCCTGACAAGAAAATTTTATTTTTGCACGTTTGGAAAAAAGATTTATCGATAAAATAATTAAAAAATTAATAGAAATATTTCGAAATAAAGAATGTTTTTATATAATATAAATTGTGATTTTATGTTTATGCATATGGAGTTTATGAATTAAGATATAAAAACTATGCAATATTATATATATATATATAAAATCAATTAATACAAAGTTTCGCTCGTATATTGTAAATACAACTAGTAATAGATAAAAAGGCCAACTTATCGAGCAATTATTAGAGTTGTTCTATCAAATAAAATTACAGACGAGACTAAAAGAACATAAAAATAATATCAGGTTGGACTCAACGAAATATTCAGTAATTTTTGAACACATAAGAAATGAACACCATACATTTAATTGGGATAACGTAAAGATTCTGGACAACAAAAATAATTATTATAAAAGACTCATCTCTGAGATGCTACATATTAAAGAACAAAAAATGGGCTAAATTTAAACAAAGATACTGAATTACTCAGTGAGTCTTATTTTGATATTTTGGATAAATTAGCGAACAATAAATAATAATAAGACAAATAGGACATTAACGGTTTAAACATAGGTATTAGATATAAACACGCACATTCTTCGATTAAGTAGAGTTTGAAATGAGATGTCTTTTTATATTGTTGGTCTTGTCTTGTGTCATCTTCAATAACTTTTTCAAAAAAACGTGGTTAAAATTGTCAAGAAGGACGATGTCAAGTAAGCATATTGATAATTGTTAAGGATATATATTTTAATTTTTGACATGCGTTAATCGTAAATTTTTTATTAATTGTAGCGCCTACAGAACGTATTAATTTCTCGCATATTAACGATGAAACTTTTCGAGATTTGATTAAAATCAAAGATCATATCAAGGTGAACATTTGTTGGATATGACGGATTGAAACACGCTTTAATTGTTTATAAATTGTCGACTCTTATTGAAAAACTAACATTAATTTTTGATATTATGTAGAATTTTTGTATGAATTTGTGTTTTTTTAATAATTACTGTAATATAAAAAATACTGAGGAAGACCGCGTGCGGTTGAAACGTTTATTTTATAATAATTGTAATTTTCGCTTAAGTTTTAGTATAGAATGTTTGTAGCTTTCACATAATGTTTTATGTTTAGTTTATACATGAAATAAATTTTATTTGACAGAACAACTCTAATAATTGCTCGATAAGTTGGCCTTTTTATCTATTACTATATATATATATAGTTGTATTTATATATATATAATATTACTTTTTCTCTTTACTTGATTTTTAACACTAAGGTAACAAGTAAAAGGAAAATAACAATGTAGTTTACATATATAATACATATATAGGGTTTATTTGTAATATATTTAATTTAATCTTATATACATGTACGTACATATTTGTTCTCTATATTTAAAAATAAGATAAAAATTATAATTGTCTCACTTTATTATGTGCGTGTATTTAAGACAGTAATTTACTATCCTAATATGAGATTTTCTGTCTTGCGTGTTTTTACGCATATCTATACATACATACATATGCTACACTATGTAACATATTATATTAACATCAATTTTACATACTACTTTTTGTTTTGTATGTTGTTAGGACCACAGCATTCGCATTTATATTTATAAATTATTTGTGCTAAAGGCGAAACAGTTGAGTACGATATATGTGCAAGATAAAAATAATTCCTTTATCGGTTTTCTCTTATATAATTACTAAGAGAGTTACAAGTTGCGTAACATAAAAGATATAGCTAAAATGATTTTTATAAATAGAATAATAGCTAACAAAAGAGCAAAGTAAAAAAAAAGAGTAATTTCTTATCGGGAACAAAGGATGTCAGCGCGCACGCATGTTATTGTAGAAAAGATTATAATTTGACATTTTTTTCGTGATATTTCTTTAATATCTCAGTTTTTAACATTATAAATAGTAACCAGACAGCTACAAATTAAATATTATTCGTAGTAGAGTTTATTTTCAATTAACTTTTCGACCACAAAATAAAAATTCTAAATTTTCTTAATTATTTCAAATGAGATTGCATTCCTCAAACTTTTCTTTTATGCAAAAAAAATGCAAAAAAATTTAAATACTTGTGTTTTAATATTCTTGATAAATAGGTTTTTATTTTTCAATTGACTGTGATGCTTTTTTTATGCATTTATAAATTTTATGCGTATCGAAAAATATATATAGCAATATTGTCGTTAAATTAAGAGACGTCATTAGAATTTTAACTAATATCAATTTGTAAATAATTTTCAATTTAAACAATTTACAACTAATTATATTGTACATTAGATTTTTAATTCGAAAAGTTATAAATGTCTCTTTATCGATCTGAAAGAATTGGAACGCATTTATTATTTATTTTTGTGTGACAGAAACGAAATGACCGATAAGTAAACATTATTGTCATGTCAGTATGTCATTTAGAAAATAGAAATGAGATACTGAGCTAATGTAAGTACTCTAAAAATGATTTCAGATTATCGACAAAAAGAAAAAATTGGGGAATACAATTTTATTTTCCAGAATTATATTGTGATTTATATCTATATAATCTAATATTTTTTTTTACTAAACTTTTCATAATTATATTACAATATATAGACTAGAGAACGTTACGGATATACATATATGCACATTTTAAGTTATTTTTAAGTTATCTTTGTCTATATTTATGAATATATACATAGGCTGTCACTTAAAGGCCGCTTACTAACAATAAGTACACAGCGTCATTCCTTATCAAAAAAAGATAAATATTGATAAAAGAGGTCCCAGCCTCAATCACCTTGACTTTGACATATTTTGTCAAGATCACTGTCCTGAGTAACCTCCAACAAATTTTAGCCATTGCTCGTTGTTTAATGAAAAATTATTAATAAAAAAGGGTAAATATGCCGATAAGAGGAGGCAATCCGATAAATATGCATAACAGAGGCGACCTTACTGATTTTAATGACATATATTGTCAAGGTCACTGTCCTAACAATAAGTAAATATCAAAAGGTTTTAAGCGTTGCTCATTGTTTATAAAAAAGTTATTAAAAAAAGATTCCTAAATAAAATTAATATTTGTGACATATACATTTAAATGTATATTTAGATGTATATTTAGACGCATAATAAAGTAAACGCGTGTGTCAAGAAGAAGCCAGGTGCTTCGCCCTTTCCTCCGCCCGTCGGAACTCCTGGCTCCTTCTTGATCCACGCGTTATTTATTTGGTATATATATAATAAAATTCGAAATAACTACAAAAAACGTAAACAAACACAGAGTACATTGAAATCACATTTTACCACATATTTTAAACGTACATGGTGTCTTGAAATTATATACCATGAGCAAAATTATAAACAACGAGACGCTTAAAACCTTTTGATATTTACTCAGGACAGTGACCTTGACAATATATGTCAAGGTCAAGGTTATTGGAGCTGGATCTCCTTTTGTCAATATTTACCAAAAAATAAGTCGAAAAGATCTGAATAATTTTTTCTATAACACTTAATAAATGAATAATTATTGAGTAAAGTACGGCCAAACAGCGTCGAGCTTTAACTTGGTTCTAACAATAAGTAAGTCGCGTGTTTTGTAAGGTATATTCACGCATATATGTATACAAAATGTTTCTAAATAAGTGCAAAAAATTTTAGGAAATAATTCTTTGTTGAAATTTGAAGGCGGTTTTTTATATAAGCTCTTATGGTATATTTATATATATGTATATATCTCTGAGGAGTTACATTTCTTTAAAGGGAAATGTAAAAATTAAGTTTTTTTCTCAAATTTTAGATAAGTTAAAAAATATAAAATTTGGTGAATATATTTCACTTGTATACAGGATATTTGTTAATTTTATTTTAATCTTGCTGTATCGTTATAAGAGGATGAAACTAACAACCCCTATTCAATTTTTTATTAGAACTTTTAATAGACTGGAATATAATCATCTAATAAAAATATGCGTTAGAAAGCATAATTTCTTTAGAAACTTTTTATTAAAAAAATTTTTTTTTTTCGTGAATATAGTTTTGAAGAAAAAATTAATCTCTAATTTTCACTTGCGCCGAAGTATAATTCTTAGGAATATAGGCATATATAAAAAATCTTACCCTCCTTAATTTTAAGAATTAAAATTTCTTAAAATTTTTGGCATTTATTTAGAAACATCCTATATATGTGTATATACACTGAACATGTGTGTGTCCAATTTTAATAGATTACCCCAAAAACTTTCATTTCTGATTGTACAACAAAATGTTTTAGGCAAAAATAATTTGATTTGAAGGAGTGTAGAAAATAGCGTTATTGATTTTTTCTGAAGGACGTTTTTTTAAGGTCATTTGAAAGTCATTTATGTTTTTAAATGGAATTATAATTTCTTTTTATATGTATATAAATTGATTCCTCGCAATTATCAATATAAAAAATTATAAAAGTAATTTGGTCAAAAAATAAATAGTGTTTACGAGATATTTTATAAACTTAAATTTTTACTTTTTGGCACTATTTTTAAATAAACTAAAATATCTCATAAAATATTTATTTTCGATGATTTTATATCAATACTTTTATCCATAAAATAATGAAAAAAATTAATTTGTATATAAAGAAAACACATAATTGTTTATAAGAAAAATATGTAGCTGCTATTATATAATTGTAAATTATATTTAGTTGTGAGTACAGTATTTGGAAAACTTTAATTAAGAGAGACAAAACTAAATTGGAAATTAATACGAATTTATAATTGTAATAACTGCAGATAACAACAGAAATATCTGGATATCTACCATGAAAGAAATTGTTATAGTGTGTAATATCGGTACTGTGAAAAATAAAATAATAATGGACATTTGATACTTTCAAGTAGATATCATTTAGAATTTAACATCATTTTATATATAGTTATATATTCACATGTAGGTACTTTTGAGATAATACTTTACCGTCAGAAGTAAATACTGATGAAAAATATATTATTCCATTGCTTTTATGGATGTAATAATTTGCAATAATTTTTTTTGTTTTAATCAATGTATTATTCATTTTGTTGAATTTTTTCGCAAATATTTTTTTTACAAGGATATATTCTTGTTTCTAAAAAATATTTCCGAAAAGATTATTAATTGATGATATTTCAATTTGTTCGCAATAAATAATCTATTTTTTGTTGAGGCAAAGTTGTCATACTTTTACATTAAGCTGCAAAGAGCTAATCCTTGGCCAGCATCAAAGGCTGATTGCAATACTGTGGTTTCCATGCAAAACGCAGCGTCTTCATACATTGCTGCCATTCGTTGCTGTTGCGCTCGACTTTCGCTCTGCGATCTACAAGCACATTTAAATTTTTCCAATTGTAAAACATTCCTAATACCAATCAGATATTTGCGAAATAAAAAAAAAGAAATTTTAATAAATCTTTATTAGTTATACATATTTTATTTAAAATAGCAAGACTCTCATACATAACGCGCATGCACGCATTATTATTCTATTTTATTAATTACGTATATGTTCTATAACAATTTAAAATATTTGTATTTAAAGTTTTTAACGCGTGCTGTCACATATATCAATTTACGTAAAATCAATGTTATTTGATGGAATAATAATAATTTTTAAAAAACCACTCCTCAATGTTTAAAGTCGACCAGACTGGCAATAATTTATTATAAATAATTATTTGAAATACAACAACGTTTCGGCTGTCATTGCAGCCCTTTTCAAGTACATCTATAAAAAGTTCCATCAATTATAAACAATTATAACATTCATCAATTATAACAATTATAAACAAAAACATCAATAAAAGACTTCGAGCGATTAAATTTGGCGGTAATCTTAACTCGCCCAATCGAAATAAATTTGATACGCGAAATTGCATTGTGTTATCTTACATTAAAGATCTTAGCGAGAATATTACGCGTTGCATCAATAAAAGTGGAATTGATGCTTTGTATACTGTCCCAAAAAAATTGGACACGTTGATAAAAAGAGGTAAAGATGGGATCGAAAACTTAAAAAGAACTGATGTTGTTTATAAAATTGATTGTGCGAATTGCGATTCGGCTTATATAGGACAGACAAAGAGACATTTAGAAACGCGCATTAAAGAACATAGAAATAACATAAAAAAAGAAAAGACATTGCATTCTGTCGTTAGTTTACATCGGACTTGCAACGATCATGAGTTCCGTTGGGATTCTCCGGTGATTCTGCATGAGGAAAAACAGACAAGAAAAAGAGAAATTGCAGAAATGTTTTACATAAAAAAACAAGGAAAAAGTATTAATTTACAGAAAGATACGGAGAATTTCAGTGAGATTTATGATCGTGTTCTTGACGTTATTTAAGTCGTTTTATATTTATTTTTACTTTTAATTTTATTTTTATTTTTATATCCACCTATTTATTTATTTTTATTTATTTGACTTTATTATGACGATTTAAATTACGAAAGACACATTTAGTTTCGTCTCTATCTTCTTAACGCTTAGTGACTAAGATTCTTGCGAACAGTTAACATCTATTTAATATGTGCTTACTTCTGTCAGTCTTGCATTGTTCATCAAAACAAGCGTTAACATTGTCGGTAGTTTGCATAGAAGTTGATTTACTGTTTTAAATTTGGTATGTAACACATTTTTGTTTTTAAATGTATAATTAATTGTTGCGAATAAGTGTATTAAATTATAATTATTTTGATGGAACTTTTTATAGATGTACTTGAAAAGGGCTGCAATGACAGCCGAAACGTTTTTGTATTTCAAATAATTATTTATAATAAATTATTGCCAGTCTGGTCGACTTTAAACATTGAGGAGTGGTTTTTTATTAATTATTACTGGCAACCTTAAGGATTATTATTTATAATAATTTTTATTATTAATACAAAATAAAGTATTAAATAAAAAATTTAAATGAGAATTTTTGTTATTAGAGTATTGCGCTATTACATTTACGATACGCATATTTCTGAAACTAACAATAAGTATCGCGCTTCTTGGTTACGAACGTCGGCAACCCGCGCGTTGCTAAGGAGCGAACAATAAGCGTAGGAACAGTAGGCGTAAATCACGAAGTAAGAATAAGGAGCTTATGTCAATAATGTAGATAGAACGAAGTGGGTCACAAAAAATGTTCCATATGTGACTAGGTTTGTTGAATGGAATAAGTTGGACCATTTCGTCGCTATTTTGAATATTCATATACGAGGTGTGTTCAAAAAGTATCGCGAATTTTGAATTTCCGCGGGTTACGTATATTCGATTTTCGATTTTTTTGTGGCGTTATGTTGGTACTCATGTTTCTCATTTATGCCGACAAGTACGGCCATTTTGAATGTTCAGTTAATTTTTGACAGCTGCTTTGCTTGCACGTGTTTTGGCTCGTCTTCGATTTTTGCCTATTCCAAAAAATGGATCAAAGAATCTGTATCAAATTTTGTGTGAAAAATAAAATTAAGTGCGCGGACGCATTCCGAATGTTGACTGTGGCATATGGTGAAGCTACCTTGGACCGAAGCAACGTTTATCGGTGGTACAAAATGTTTTCCGAGGGCCGAGAAGATGTGAACGACGAAGAGCGTGCCGGACGCCCGAGCACGTCAATAACAGACGAAAACATTGATGAAGTGAAGAAAATAGTATTGGTCAATCGTCGAATCACCGTTAGAGAAGTTGCTGAGGACCTAAACATATCGATTGGCTCGTGCCATTCGATTTTTACCAATGATTTGGGCATGACACGGGTCGCCGCGAAATTCGTACCAAAATTGCTCAATTTTTGGCCAAAAAAACACACTAATAATGCCGCAGCCACCGTATTCCCCAGATCTGGCCCCCTGTGACTTTTTCTTGTTCCCGAAACTGAAGAGGCCCATGAAAGGACGACGCTACGCTACGATTGAGGAGATAAAGACGGCATCGAAGGAGGAGCTGAACAAGATCACAAAAAATGATTTTTTGAAGTGCTTCGAGGATTGGAAAAAACGTTGGCACAAGTGTATAATATCTGGTGGGGATTACTTTGAAGGGGACAAAATAGATATTCATGAATAAATAAATAATTTTTGAAAAAACACAAAATTCGCGATACTTTTTGAACACACCTCGTATATGTATAAATGTTACGTGCATACATTCAATTTGTGTAGTAATTAGTGTATGCCCTTCATGGTATAGAACGTGTTTAGATGACAAATAATTTTGATATTTTTAAGGTAAGTATAGTTACAATTTTATTTGTAATCGCATGATATATCATACAATTTTAAATAATTTTAAAGAAAATTATAGAATTTATTTGAACAATTATAGATATAATTTTAAACTTTAACTAAACTTTTCACTTTTATAACAAAAAATTATCAGTTGGAAGAGCAGTCGCCCGGCAAGCGGAAGGTCTCGGGTTCGTTTCCCGATTCAGCCGACTTTCGGACCAATATTTTTCTCGTCTATTTCTTTACAGGGGATGTTAAGAGAAGGAACAAGGGGAATTTCTGAGATCCCAACCATAGGATTCAAATTCCTTAGTTTCCAAAATTTTCTTATCTTAATCTGTCGCAATAACATCGCGTTTGGCTCTTTAGCCGAGATGAATATGGTGGTTTAAAAAATTATATACATGTCAAATTGACAAAATTGATAGAAAATGATTTGTTTTTATTATTAGAATATTATTTTAATTATTGGAAAATATATAATTATATATATATATATATATATATATATATATATAACACATAATTTTTCTCATCTGTCATTTCAAGATGGCGACAAAATGGTTCAAGTTATTCTATTCGGCCAACTTGGCCATATACGGAACATTTTTCGTAATCACCTTCAATCTATGTAGATAATTCTCCTATGGTGTAAGTCAAGAAATTCGATTGTTGCAAATAAATCCCAGCCGTACAGAGTCACCCAAAAAATTGTTAAATTGTTCGGGACGAACTCGATAAATTGTTCGGAACGAATTCGATAAATTGTTCGGGACGAACAATTTTTCGACTCTAAAATTTACAGCGATGGAAGCCTTTACATCTTTCCGATTACTCACCTTGGAGCCATTGCTCGCGCGCGGTGCTGTGCCCTGATCTGCTGTTCTCTCAAGGTAGGACAAGTAGCGTCTCTAGATTGTCGTTGCTGCAGTTGATGTTGATATTGCTGATGTTGATTGTGCGAGCCGAGCGTCAGCTGCTCTAGGTACTCGCGAAGCTCGGACTGGCTGGGCAAGCGATTGCGATGAGTTTGTATATTTGAGGTCGGATTAGATGACAACAATGTTGATGATGTTGAGTCCGACCACGGTGGTGGAGGAGTATGCGAGCGTGACATTATTGCATATTTGTGATATAGATATTCCTCGTATGTCGGTGGCAGACCAGTCTACAAAATGAAACATGTTTTGTGTAAGAAAAGAGAGAGAAGAGATTGAATAACATTATTTTACAGCTATTTTAATATATTTGTACAGTTTTTTTAAAGTTTATTGCTTCATTGGTTTAACAATCGACGATTGGAATACATAAATTAGTTATGTTATAGATTTATTTCTTCCAGATTCATGTTTATACATATATAAATATAAAATATATAATTTTAAATATAAAATACTTAATTTTTTAATAATTACTATATACTATATAGATTTATAAATTTAAAAATAAATAAACTTAAAAAACTAGTCATAATTTAATAATAAACACTAAAGGTTTTCATGACAAATGTTTATGAAAGCAAAAAGACTAAAAATTAGCAAATATGTGGGCAAATAAAAAAGGAGAAAAATTAAAAAATTGCGAAATTGAAATTAAATACAAAAACATAGCTCTGTGCGTCAAACTAGAATACTGTTATTTCAATTGCACAAAACATAAAACAAGAATTGAATCAATTATAGATCTAAAATAAAAAAGATATTATATTTGTTCTGGTGTTATGCATATTATTCTCGTGCATGTGAGATTGACGTCTCTGTGAGATGTCAATTTTACATGCACAGGAATAATAATGAATGCATATATTTTACCTCTATATAAACTTCACTTAGAAAAGTTTTTAAAGTCTAGAAAAATGTCAAATTTATATGACGCAACATTAACAGTATTTATTAACTTTTACTTTATTTTGATTTAGTGTGTGTTAAAAAAAATACAAGATAAAATTGCAACAAATCTTACCTGCCATGCTTTTGCAATCGCGACATCGTATGTCGGCGGTGGTGACGTCATAGATGGAATAGCGTAATAAAAAGCTTGCGATCTATTTTGCATATTATTCGAACGACTAGTTCTGATCTCATCGACGTGTACATTTGCCGTGTTTGGTACACTTGTGTATAATACTTCAGGTCTGACAGTGTTTTCTCGAATTCCATCACCGAGAATACTCGAGCCTGAATCTATAAAACATTATTGAAAGCAAAGTTTTACTCTTCAAAATTTATACATATATATATATAATATACATATACTATATATATATATATATATATATATATATATATATATATAGTATATGTATATTATATATATATTTCTTTATACATATTTTTATACATATTATTTATACATATATATATATATATATAGTATATGTATATTATATATATATTTCTTCGACTAATATTAATTTTATGTAAATACGTATATATACATATATGTATGTATGTATATGTATTGTATGTATATATATATATATATATATATAATATAAATATATATATATATATATATATGTATATTGTGTATGTTATAATTTTAATTAATTATTTTAAAAGCTGGTTAAACTTATTTTTGAAAACATAATAAAAATATTTTCAATAATAATAACTGCAATATTATCAGAAGCTCAGAATCATCTCTGAGTTTGTGTGCGAGCACGAAGATGCAAGACGGAACATTTTTGTTTAAGGCAACAAGTAGAATTGTAGAAAAGAATTTGTTTCTAGATTTTAGTCTTTAGTTAGTTAAAATTTAAGTCCATTATTAAATTAGAACTAATGCGTCTAAAGGTACATATATATACGTGATATTTTTTCAAGAACTTTGAAAATACAGGCTTGTCAACGCACACGTTGTTCTTCATGTTTATTAGGTCGCTACGCTGCAAGGGTTACATGGTCCGAAACAAGAAATGCTAAAAAATTTTGTTAAACCGTTCATTCTTAATCATCAGGTAAATTTTAGTCAACAATGTTCATTGTCGTTCATGTCATATCAGGACGCACAACTTTCGACGCCATCCGACAGAAACATAGTCCAGGATGAAAAATAGACAGGAATCTTTTTGTGCAACGAGTTATTGTTACTCACAGGCCCCTTTGTTAAGTTTATAATGTAGTTCAGATTATAAGCGTTTCATAGTACAAAGTTTGTATATAGATATAGTAATACTGTTCTTTAAAGTTACAATTAGAAACATCCTGGTTTATCTCAGCTGCAGAGAAACAAAAACTAACTAAACTAAAGGCGGTTATTTTTAGAACTTTATACGTTTGTTTAAGGGGATCCTAAACGCCGTCCTGTTTTATGATAAAACATTATTTTTGCCTATCCTTTCCTTTTTATTGGTTAAATAGAATAATAATTGCTTTTCCATGATTAAAGTACATATTATAAGAACAAAAAAAATTTAATTAAAAAATTAAATTTTTTTTTGTTTTTAACATAAAATCGGTCGGCTCACATTTTGTTTCTATATAAATTTTAATCGTGGAAAAGCATTTATTATTCTATTCAATCAATAAAAAGAAAAGGGTGCGCAACAATTATGTTTTATTCCATCGCTACACTTACAGGGTTCTTTTATACTTGTCCCGTGGCGATCACGAGATAAACATGTGAGGTGCAAAAAATTATAATAAAGTTTGTGTGCATAATATACAGATTAACTGACCGATATAAGTGTAATGTGATTCGGCACTGTCGGCGCTCCGAGTTCTTCGCGAATGATTGATTCGCTTCTCATACTTGCTGCTTTTCATTATAGATTTCGCGGGTTCTGTTACCGAGCTGCTGCTTCCAGTCTCACTCGACGTTCGAGTTTTTAGTCCTCGCCGGTCATCTTGTTGTCTCCGTGAGCCCTTATCCTCCTGTTTATTGCCCTTTGATTTTGGCAGAAGGGTAGTCAGTTTTTCCAAAACGATCGAACTGTTTCGCGACTTCGACAGGTCTACACCGCAGGCACATACCGGCAGGTTTTCGTTAGGCATCCTGAAAAAAATTAAGAGATTTTTTTGTTTTTATCGACTTAAAAAAGATCTTATAAATCAGAAATGTTTAAGAGAATACTGACTCTGTCTGTTTTACCGACAAATATATTTTCATTATTTTATTTATTAGCTATACAGAATGAAAAATCCTTTTCTAGAATTAAAGTAATAACTAATTTGGGCATCTATGTATGTATATTAAAAAAAATCAAGAGAGTAAATAATTACAGTGTTCTTATTAGTCTTTCTTATCGGTACGACATGATGTAAAGAATCAATAAGAAAACTGTAATTATTTAATTTTTCTTGTTTTTTTTATATACATACACAGGAGCCCAACTTTGTTATTACAAATATTTTAATTTTAGAAAAGATTTTTTATTCTGTATAGCCAAAATAATTAGTTAAATAAAAATAATATTTTCAGATAAGAACTATTTTTGTCGGCTCTCAATATTAATAATAATAATAATAATATGATATTTTAAATCGGCCAATAGAGCCGAAGCGCGAAAAATTAATTCTTCGGAACTGTATCTCTTGGTTTGAGATTACTAAGTTCCATATATAAATTAATCTTGAACTTACATAGATACATATATAAGTTCAAGATTAATTTATATATAGAACTTAGTAATCTCAAACCAAGAGATACAGTTCCGAAGAATTAATTTTTCGTACTTGGGCTCTATTGGCCGATTTAAAATATCATATAAAAATAATATTTGTTGATAAAATAAATAGTCAGCATCCTCTCAAGTAAATTATATTTTGTCATTAGTTTTTCGGAAAAATGTTTTACATTTTACACAATTCTATAAAATATACTATTAAACATTCTATTAAACACACATACAATTCTATTAAAATCAAAAAGCAAAAATTTAATGTCTCGTATAGCGGAAAGTGTTAAAAAAAATTTTTTTGACACTTTTCGCTACAAGACATTACTTTTTTTTTATTTCTTCTTTGAAAGAGAAAACAAAATAGTATTTTTTTATTTGACTCTTGTCGCAGAAGAAAAAGGAAAAAAAAGGAAGGGACAAATTTTTAATTTTCGAGAAAATCTTATTCTCCATTACATTTGGAAAATCGCTTTTGAAAGAAAAAAGCACCAAGTCCATTTTCACAATATTGTATTATATCGCCGAAATAAATGATATCTCTTAGTATTTTTATTGAATTTAGTATTTCTCAAGTATTACTTTTATCCTCTCAAGATTAAAAGAATCTTGTTTATGTTTATGAAGTCTTTGTATTTATTTATTCTTCTTCCAAATTATTTTCAACGAAATACATTAAATTTAATCGCGAATTTTTACGCTAGACATCATTATTATAAATAATTCGTTTAAATTCTCTATTTCATGTATATTCGGTGTTTTATATACAATTCCATGACAGAAAAGTTACACACGTTAGTGCAATCTTGTGTCGGAAACAGATAGACTTTTTGAACTTTACAAGGTTGATGACGTTTCTTAACATTAATTTTTTACTTGGACCTGGACATTTTATTACACCATAATATCTTCGTTCGTAGGTCATATGCATAACATTTTTATTATATGCATTATATTATGTGCATAACATTTTTATTATATAATATTCTTTTTTTATTATGTAATATTTATTTTATTATATAATAATCTTTTTATTATATTTTTTATTATATAATATCCAATATTCCAAGTTATATATTTCTATTGCGCACTCGATCTTTTCTCGATTACGTTACTAAGACCCGATAATTTGAAATACTTGCACGCAATTAGGTCAGGTATTCGCCTCAATATTGACTGTTTGAACTTGGCACGAGAGAGACATTAATCCTTTGAAAATATGTAAAAAATTTATCTTTTTCGTATAATGCTTGCAAAGAGGAAAGAATTCACAGTTCATAGTGTTACATATAAAATGGTCAATTAGTAAATATAGAAATATAGGAACCATTAATTATAGTCCCATTATCTTAAGTTCCAATGATCGAAAGCAGCGAATCTATTTGTATTAGGTACTACATATGATATGCAATCCTCATACTTAATAGATGCAATATTCTATCATAAAAGTCAGCCATCCATTCAGCTTTCGTGAAAACTGATTTATGACGATATTTATTACGACGCATGTGTTTGTAAATAACTAGAAACTTATTTGAAAAAAAACGGTGAAAAAGATTGACGAGAGGTGATGATGGAAAATAAAATCGATTTTTGCTGTGCGCATGTATACGAAAAGAATTAAATTTAAAAGACGTATTTCAAATTTCTTTCCGAATATCTCAGCAACATGATAAATTCATATAAAAAAAATTCGGACACAGATAAAAACGGATGGAATTTTCGCATATACAAGTCTAAAATCATTCCATATATAGCTTTGTATAGAGAGTATTTCTAAATAAGTGCGAAAAACTTTAGGAGAAATGATTCTTTGTCGAAAATTAAGAGAGTTTTTTCATATAAATATACATATACTTTCCTAAGGATTTCTAAAAAAAAGGTAAAAAATTGGTTTTTATTTTTTTTTTTGAAAATTCTTGATTTTATATAAAAAAAAAAAAAAAAATAAAAGAAAAAAGTTTTTAAAAGAATCAAATTTTTTAATGCTTATTTTTATATGATCACATTTCGGTCCGTTCAAAAAATTTAATAAAAAATTGAGGGTTGTTAGTTTCATCCTCTTATAACGGGAAGATTAAAATATATTAAATATCCTTTTTACTAGTAAAAAAACCTTCACTAAATTTCACTTTTTAACTTGTTTATGGGAAAAAAAATTAAAAATCTAATTTTCACTTCCTCTTTTGAAGAAATGTAACTTCTCAGGGAAGCATATAAGGAAGAATACATGTTTATATAAAAAAACTTCCTTTAATTTTCGACAAAGAATTATCTCGTAAAGTTTTTTCTATTTATTTAGAAGTACCCTGTATATAGATGTATTCTTATATTCCGTTGGTAGAGTTATTTTTGACTGCGTCAATATCGCTCAGAAATGTAATCTTCTTTTATTTTAAAAAAACTTTAGCAATAAACTTTCTGTACAAGTATATTTAGTTTCTTAGAAGCGACAAGAAGTTTAGAAGTTTTGTCGTCATTATTATCGTTCGACGCGAGTTATATATTGTATGTTGCGGGAAAAGAACAGCTCATTTTCCGTGGCGAAAAGTGGAATGTAAAAGAGAGCGGGATAGCAGCAGGCTGATATACACGCACCCCTAACGGGGTGTATCCTTCTGGATTTTACTCTCTTCCAATTTGACCTAGATAACCCACGATCGATCACCAAAGTCGATGTCGAGCAAGTCTTAATTCGCTCGAAAACAGCAATAGGGGCGGGGGATGGAGGGTAGAACTGGCGAAACCCATCAAAGTTAAGCACTCGTTAGAGTACCCTTCCCAGTAAAATTGATTTGAAGCTGCTAAGCTTTACCGTAGACGAAATCAGCTTTCAAGTTTTACACCTATTTATTTTCATCCCATGTCCTTTTCCGCATTATCATTTAATAATCCGACTTTGATTTAAAAAATCTTTTTCTTTTTCAATTTTCTAATTGGTAATATTTATAATCTTCAATCGTGATAAAATTAAAAAGCATGACACAATCACAAGTATTATTTGCATATAATAGAACTCTTTTTATCTTATCAAATAATTTTTTCTAAGTGAAGAAGAACTAAATGTGCTTCTCTTGCTTCTGAAATTTTCAATCGCTGGAATCACAATTTTTTCTTTTTAAGATGCTAGGATGTTGCAGCGAAAATGGAGCAACAGAGAAATGCTGCAGGAAGGGCAAGTAGGAAGTTGGAAACCAGCAATTGGATCTACTGCTAGTGAACTGGATGCTTGTAGGTGGGAAAAGGTCATGTAGGAGGAGTATACCAGAAGCCTGAAAACCAGGTCACCAGTGCAGGTCACTGAGCTCTCCCTTCGCTAACAAATAAATCCGGAACAGTCCATCTACAAATTAATCATAAATGTTATTGACTGATCCGCGCGTGTTTATATTGTTACAATAAGCAGCTTCTTTAACAAATATCGCTTTCCATCAAGCATATAGATAAATAAATATATATATTTTAGATAGCAATTGATAAATTATTTTAACTATTAAATTTTTGACATTATTTATTTAAATACTTGAATACATTTGCATAAACAGATATGTCGATGTATGTACATTATATATTATATAAAATCTTATTTTGCAGTTTAATAATCTTTGAGTGTAAAATATAAATATTCCTTAAATATATAAAATATAAAAATATGTATACAGAGTGTTCCAGGATTATCGGACATCTTGTTAATGGAGATTCCTGATTATTTGGAGATAATTTTTCTTTAGTAAGAATGTCGAGGAAAGTCATCATTTTTTGCATGTTTCTAATTTTTGCCGTTATGTGTCTTTGTAACTAAGCCTTAAATTAAAATTCTATTAAACTAAACTCTGAAATTGACTGAAGAATATGGTTTTGTTAATATATGTATGGTGAATATGGTTGATATATGATGTATGATATTTTGTTAATATATGATGAATATGGTTGATGGTTGTAATATTTTATTTTCACAAGACTCGGTTTGCGAAAAACCGTTTATTTTCAATTGTTTATAACTTAAAAATTATTGGTGCCTCAACATTTTCGTTAAGGAAAATCGTCTCCAAATAACCTCAGGAATCTCTCATTAATAGAATGCTCGGTAATTTTGGAACATTCTATATAATATATGCATTTTTATAACTTGACTAAATTTATTTGTAATTGATGATTGACAGAGATTTTCTTTTATCATTTTTATTTTCATCTAAAATGTTTTATCATATTCTCTACGTGTGTGAAAATAGGCTTTCAATTTTGTTTTGTTGGTAAAAAAGCAAGTTTTATTCAAATTTTATTATATTTATTCACACAAGAGAACGAACTTTTGGCAAAAACGCTTGTTCATATGAATCAATGTGAGTCCAAGAAATGGATTTATCTTTCGCTTTAT